CCCCCCCACCCCCAGAATTGAGAAACTGCAGTAGTTTGCATCAATGTCCTTTTTAGATGTGGTATATATAGGTATTGTATAAGAGTGTCTACTGATATTTTGCAGAAAAATATTGCACTATTATACTTCAGGGACAAGCCTGTGTGTGTTCTGAAGTTTCGAAGTTGGTATTGCATTATATAAAAAGGATAGAGAACTAATATCCTGTTTGACAAAGCCTTTGGATAAACTTCATTTCTTCAAGTAAGCAATATTAGAAAGCAATATTAGGAAGCAATGCTAAATTATAAGACCTTTCCTGTTGAACGGAAGATTGTATGGTGGTTCTTCTATATATTTGCAGTAGAAGGAACATAAACACCAGCATTCTGAATATTTCTTCAGAGTAGGATAAACAAAATGAATTTCCAAAGCTAGCAATCACAGCAACAAGCAAATTGAGCTAGGCAGCTAGACGGCTGAATAGCCAACCATCAAAGGCAAAATAACGAAAAAGCTTGATGGGGCGTTCAGTTTTTACAGCATAGGAGTATAATTACTACCAGTCAACACAGCTTAATGGCAAATAAGTCTTGTGTTTGTTTGACAGTTTAATTATTTGAGAAGATAAGACTGTTCTGTTTGTTAAACTCAAAATGTATTTAGAGACTCATGTCACAAAATATTCTGATTAAAAGGTCACTGCTATACACTAGGGCATGTGTTAGTTAAAATAAATTAGGAGCTCACTAACTGGTCTCAAAGTGCTTGTCAGTGGAAACTCATCATGTAATTAGGGTGTTTCTATTGCAGTGCTTTATGGATTAGTATTAGGTACAATGTGCAACACTTTTGTCAGTGATCTGGAAATAAATATAAAATGACAGACAAATTCTGGAGACAAAGATTTGCAAAGTGGTAAATAATGACAAGGATGGTATAATCATACTGAGCCACTTTAACACAGACCCATTCAAAAAAAGTGTCTTTGAAGAGATCCAGATCTATTGAGATGCATTTAGAGATAAGATATATGCAGAAGTGATTTCACAAAGAGTCTAGTGGTTATAGCAGACAAGCAGCTGTACTGCCCATATATACAGTGTTGCCACAAAAAAGGCTATTTTAGCCAATAGAACCTTGGAAGTGATTTTTATTTCTGAACATGGGAATGGATGACATATACTGAAGTGCCACATTGAAGATTAGTTTCAGTGCTTTTAAGTACTGTTGAGGCATTGGAGAGAGTGCTGAGAAGAACATTATTATTTGAGGGGTGGAGAAAATGCTTACCAGTGAGAGAGCCTTGGAGCTCAATTTGTTTTGGTTTATCAAAAGGAAGATTGAGAAGGGACTTGTTTATAGAGTATACATGCTTTCCTAGAAAGAAAATCCTGTATGCTATGAAAAACAAGAAGAAGAAAGGAAAAAGGGATAACAAGAACCAGTTTCTGGAAACTGAAGCCAAACAAATGGAAATCAGAAATTAGACACAAATTTTTAGCAACAAAGTTGATTAACTGTTGGGACCATGGGAACTGGGTAGATTTCATATCTCTTGATGTTTTCAAATGAAAACTGAATACTTTTCTGGGAGTTCTGTTTTAGCCGGATACAAATTATGCTTTAGTGAAATATTACTGAGTTCAGTATAAGGGCAACTGGATGAAATATAATGACTTGAAATATACTGTAGGTCAGAGTGGATTATGATAGTTATTTTGCCTGTTAAATAATTCTGTGTGAAAAATAACCTGTAGTCTCTTCTCAGTGTAGTTCTCAAGACAACTTTTTGACCATTTTCTTTCAACTTCAGAGCTGTGCGAACTGTTCATGCTTCATTTTGTTTCATTTAGTTTGCAGTGAGCTTATTTTCAGGACCAGCAGCTGTTCAACTTTAAAAAGGCATCTCTCACTTGTTATTCATCTTCAGAAAATGGTCACTGTCTGTATAACAGACTTCCATATTGTAGTTGTCCTGTAATGGAAAATGTAGGGAGTTAGGTGGGTGGTTTGTGTTTTGTTTTACTTTGTAGGCCTTGGTATATTTCACTTGGCCAACTAAGTAAATGCTATGACTTTCCACTCTGAAAATAATTTAGAAGCAAATATTGCTGAAAGTCTGAAAAGGAGCTCTTCTATACTTTGCACATATCCACTGGTCAGGTCATTCTACATGTGATATATATTGCTATAGTTAGCATCTACTTTCTATTTAAACATGCAAAAAAAAGTTGTATTCCATAGGTTACAGTGTGCAAGGTTATCTGCACAACATACAGTACAGTTATAACAGGAGTAGGTTATATGTATATTTTATACTGGCATTCTCATACCTGTAGCATCTTTTAGGGAATAGAATATCTGTGGCTGTTTTCCAAAAATGCTGATCCAGTACAAACTGTGGTTTCATTTAAACAAGACACTGTCTTGGGTATGGCAAAGCAAAATATTTTCTTAATCTTTATGCTAAGAAAGCCCCTTAAAATCCAGAATTTTGACAACATTGACTGTGATACGTTAAGTCATTGTTATCTCCTTTCCCTTTTTCTGTGTCTGGTTCATGGCAAAATTTCTAATGGAGAGAGTTCTCTCCTTTCCACAGACTTTCCTGGGTTGGTATATTATCTCCTCCAGCCCACCATCATGGCTCAAGGCTTTGTCTATGTAGAAAGCTGTTGTACTGAGTGAGAATTATGAGACTAACCAATAATATGTTCTTTTAATATTTTTAAGCATAATGCCTTGAGTGGTGCATAAGGGCTTGTTACGCACAAACTAGTTACCTCAAGATAAAGTGGGGGCAGTTACTATATCCCATAGTAATTACATGTATGCAGGGGCAGAGCTGTACTTCTGTCCAACGTGTCAACAGGTGGTGGATAGTGAAATACCCTTCAGGCAAGGTTAGCTATGAAATAAGCAGGAGTAACTCTGATGATTAAGCAGTCACAGACCAAGCAGCAGCAGCAACACCAGGATGTGAGGACAGCAGATGGCAATGTAAAGTCACATATATCCTTTGATGCTGCTGTGACATGGTGAGTACAGGTTGCCATTATAATATGCCTGCCTGGCCCCCAACTGTGGGTCTACAAGTCCTCAACAGCAGATCAGGTGGAAGTTGATGTTAGAATCTCAGTGGCCGCATAGGTGGCTGAAAACTGCAGCAGAACAAGATCCTCAGTTGTCTCAGGCTCCATGTTCCTGTTCTGTCAAGAGCCACGTGGAAGCTGATGTACAGTAGCTTCACAATACAAAAAGCCATGCACAGGCATCTTCCATGCCAGCACATTCCTCAAGCCCTTTAGTGACCAATGGTGATGGGAGCAGAATTGTGAGGTGTGGAAACTCCTAGTCATGAATTGGCCCAAAGATGGCAGTTACAAGAAGGTCATGTAGCACTTGGACAAGACAGGAGCTGTAACTGTCACTGAGCGGCCGCCTTGAA